CAGTTGGCTATATGGATCTGACTTGAAATTGCTATAAAAACAAAACTGGAAGAAAAATAACCTTAATAAGCATTTTGCAATTCAATTGGACTTCAATGATTTTTAAAATTTTCTGATTATGATTATAATCAGATTATTGTAATCTGATGAAATGAAAAGAATCCTGGTAACTCTTACAGAGAATTACCACACAACCCACTCAAATAACATGATGATGTCACATACATGTCAATATAACTTTTATATCTATACTCCAGAACATAAAAATAACTATGCAGAGTTAGATCAAAGATACATCCTCACATTTTTCAACAGCAAGCTGTAACAAATAAAGTACACAAGTTTAAAGCAACCTTTCTACTATGGGCCCTTCCACTTATATCCTTCAACAGTTTAGGAACTTCTTGAGCATCTGCTGGCAGGAACAGGGGTTCTTTGGGCCAGTAGCTTTTGCTGAATTTCTCCTTCATGACTTTGCCCAAAATTTCTGTGAACACGTGTACCCTTTCTGGTCTCCAAAGCACTCTGTGCATGTAACTTCAGTTCACATCCCAGCTTTGGCTGTGAGAAACATTTTTTTTCCCCAATCCTGTTCAAGATTTCATACATTACTGTCACAACTTTCCTCTCACAAACTCCACATACACAACCTGAAGCACTGAGGAGCTCTAACTTACTTAACCTTGTTACATTCAAGCTCTTCAGTAACTTTTGGCACTTGCGTTACTCTTGTTCGAATTTCTTATTTTACTATATTATTTTTCAGAAATAATTCCACTGTTGAATATATGGGCTCATCCTGGATTTCCTAAGTGAAAACACACCAGCATCCTCCTCATATTTATTTTGGAATGCATTTTACTTATAGATTCCTAAAAACTATTCAGCTCTAGTTTAGTTTTTAGTAAGAAATAAAATTAAGTGCTTTTTTTTCCAACTATGGTATGCACAGTATAGAAAAAAAAAAAAAATTCCTTCCTATTAATTATGCAAGTCTTCTTTGGAAAAAGAGAAATTTAAGACTATTCTATGAACTTATTCAATGAAAAGGGTTTTAAAAATACTCCACATTTCCTGCATATATGATGGATAAGATTATAGAATATCAATACCTCCTCTGAGAATTTGTAGATTAAAAATTTACACTGCAGGCATGATCAAGTGAAAAAAGCTATTTCAGCCTGCAGAGACATTGCAGCATCACCTTACAGTTGGCAAAAAACATTCACAGAATTGGCAAGGTCTTAACAAGAGTCCTCAGTCCACCAGTTTTCCATCTCCAGGTAGAACCTGTAGTAAATTACCGACGAATTCAACTCTTCCCAATCTGCATTAAAACCCAGAAGCCAAGCATGGCTTTCCAGAATCTACCAAAACCAAGATGACCCAGAGGACAATTATTACAAGACTGACAACAGTAGCATAAAAAAAAAAAAAAGAATGCATACCAGTTTGTCATCCATCTCTAACACTAAGCCTTTGTTGCAGAAGAAAGGACAAGTTTCCAGCTTCATTTACTTGATGGCTGAGATAGTTATCATTATCATGTTTATGTGTTCACTAAAAAGGTTGCATGTTTTTTCTGGTAAGCAGTGGCTTTAAATTCTCTTCTGTTTTCACACAACAAGATATATTTTGCATTTCAAGCAAATTCTAAAAGGAGACCATCTGGAATAACTACACAGTATATTATTTGATGTATACTACACCAAAACATCATATATGACCATACTTTATAGTCATACAGCTTAATGAATAAAGTTCAGTATATTTGATGCAACCTGAGGTATAAGCTTCTGGATTCTCTCCTACCACCTACTCCCTTAATGAATCCTGGCATAGTAATAAATACACTCAGAGGACCCAAAAAAAAAAAAAAATTAAGAAACTCAAATACTTCTAAGTATGTCTCTATATATGAAAGAATACTCTTACATTCTACAGGTCACAACACAAAACCCCTGAGATCATATAGGATCAGAAGATTCTCTATTTCTGTCTAGCCTAAACCAAATTTTAATGTAATCACATTACATTTCCAAATCATATATCTAAGTCACAGACCTCCAAACTTTGCACTTACAAGTTAATTTTACATCCAGCAGTTACTGCTGTCGAGTTCACAGACATTGAACCCAGAGACCCCTGGGTTGGCAGATCTGCTGTTTGGAGGCTCCAGTACCTTTGCCTCATAAAACATGACCCCAGGCACGACCTCATGCCAGGTTTACTGTCTAGAAGATATGCTACCAACACACTTGTCTCAACATGGTAATCCCTATGTGTCTGTGACAAGACACTGGCATGCGAACACCACCCAAAGTCTGCTACAAAGCCCATACAATTCCCAGCTTTCTTTTATTTTTCCCATCAAATACATACAAGATAACACTGCGTTCTCATTTAGATTTTTATATTCCAACCCTATCACAGGGCAACCTGCCATCCTACATGTGGCTTAATAAAGACTGCTTTCTTCATTTTCACTTGTCTGTACCCCAAAGTATTAGCACATTCTCAAATATGTGGCCGAGTGGCAAATTTCATGAGGGCTACATCAACAAACACTTTAGCAAAGCACATACGCGAGTACGCATTCTAACAAGCCTTCCAGCAAAGCCTGCACCTACATACATGCAGATTTTTTTCACGTGAAAAGGGGAGTTGCAGGCATGTAAATGCATATACGTCCAAATCTGTAATCCCCACTTAGAAATCAGTAGAAATTTTAAGTTTTAGTGCTAATGTATTTGTTGTATTCTGGCGCTGTCCAGAATCTCTGATAATGCAGGCGGGCAATACTGGAGCCATATGCAAGATATGATCCTATCCCTGCTTGGAAAGGAGGTATCACTGCCCCCTGGAGTCTCATATTGTATGGCTGAAAAGCTGAGTATTAAGAGTCCTTCCAACGAAAAGAAATCTCCTCCACTACCTGAGTGGTTCAGAAAGCTCTGCAAAGAAGCACACTCAGTTTTTATAACCATCACTGCTATGTGACAGACATCAGACTGCATCATTGAGCAATAGCAATCTAGGGTTACAAAACTCTAGTGGCTGAAAGTTATTCTCTCAAACACAGTTTTGTTGGCTTATCTATTTCATCTAGCTACATGGTTCCATGGAACCACTATATGATTCTGCTAAACCATATTTATCTTCCACAGCTGACTGTGTGACCCCTGGCTCACCAGGGACTAAACAGTTTCAATCATAAAGATTCACAGAAATTCATTAGCTTTGTTTTCTTCCTCAGATGACAAGACACCCAGAAGACTAAAAATATGCTGGAATGTCTTCCTGCAGTACTTGTCCCAGACACAAGGTTACCTGCTCCATTCTCTCCAGATTGTGCTTCTCTCCAACTGAAATACAACTTGGCGGGGACAAAATAAGCAGAACACAGAAACAAGTCTTACTTCCCTTTGTGAGGCCACATGTAATTGTGAATGCAATAGCAACATGCTACCATTATGCATGCAGTCTACAGCGCGGTAAGGATCCGCTGGAAGCTCACAGCCTAGAAAGCAAAGCACTGTGGGACTGCTTTCTTCTGGATAGTTTCACAGGCCTAATGGGGATGTCCATGGAGTGAATCAGACTAGATCTAATCCAAAGTAAAACCTCTAATGCATGACAAGTAGCTACAGCGTCCTCATCAACAATAGCTTTCATCTACTCATCCTTTTCTTTTGTGCTTCATTACTCAGGAATGCAAAACCTAAAACTTCATTAAAAAAGAAAAAGTCTATATGTACTCAAGAATACTTAAAAACGAAAAATAGTAAGAACAAACCAAATGCAGTTTACATCATTGTGAACAGTAATTATAACAGCACAGTACTACTGAGGAATATTCTGCATTCTTATCTCATGTAAAATTGTCTCAAGTTGAGGAATTTCATATAATTAAATTTATTGCCAGCTACCAAAGCTTTAATTAATGATTCAGGTGCTGAGAAACAAGACAAATAGTCAAACACCCAAAGCAAGCACTTTCCCTCCCTATCTATCTCAGCTTAGCTTCAGACATTTCTCTCTCCTCTCTAGTCACCAGCCTCCTTGTCTTTGCCATTCTGTGACACTCGGTGTCTTTGGCAAGGTGACGGGTGATGCAGGAGAGAGGGGTCAGTGCACGACGGCTTGTTCTTTCTGCCTCTCCTTGTCTCTTCCTCCTTTCAACTGCTTTAGCGTGGGTCCTCCACCAGCCAAAAACCCCTTGGGGACTGTACCTCTCCAGGGCGAATTCCTCCATAGGTTGCAGTCCCTTCGGAGGTGTGCCTCCTCCTGTGTGCCCTCACACACTTCCTGTCTTTCCCATCATGCCTACTCCGTTATCTCATCTGTTATCTCCATTTCTGCCTTGTTTTTTGTCTCCTGCATCACCTTTGTGCCTCCTTCTGTGTCTTCTTTTGTGCCTCCTCGCATGCCTGCTCCTGTATCTCCACTTGTACCTCCTGACATGTTTTCCTTGGCATTGCCTCCTCTGCTCTGGCATCTCCTGTCCCTAGTAGCTCCTGACCTTTCTTAAACATGTTTCTCACAGAGGTGCCACGTGCTCAATTTCAGTTGTACATTACTGTCTGTTGCACAGCTGGCTGTAAATGACTTTGCACAAGTGGAGGGCAGTCCATGATCTCCTCCCCCAGAGGTCAGCTCTGCAGTACCCCTGCTACAAAAGCCCTGCCATTTATAATGGTAACGTTAGGTTATATTCACCTAATGGTGAATAGGAAAAAAAAAAAAAAATCTAAAGCTCAGCCATCATGGTCTATGGAGTAAATGAGATGAATGGCAATGGCACTGACAAAAATATGTCTTGAAATCAATACTTCATAAACAAAAATAACTTTTTTTATGTGATGTATCTCTTCTAAAAAGCTACTTACAGGTACATTAATATTAGTGAGAGACATGTGCATTGTCACATACCAGACCCAGAGCATGAACTCTGGCTGAGAAGACTATATACTTCTGGAAATTAATTAAATTCAACTTACCACAACAGAATCAAGTTTTTGTTTCACCTTCTGCATTCTCATTGATGCTCTTGCAACACTGACAAACTGATCTGCTGGAGACATCACTGAACTTTTTTTCACAGGAACTTCAGAAAAACTGCTAAAGAACTGTGGCCCTCTTGGTGCAGCTGTGGTAAGTGATGAACTGAGATCTTTTACAAGTTCAGCTTCCTGTTGTGCAACTGTAGAAATAACCAATATTAATATGTCAGGTGAAGCCTTATATTGCCATAGAAAAAAAAAAATTGAATGATTGATGACATTTTGCCAGCCATGTCATGTTTGTCGTTGTCACCAACAGGATGATGTTTGTCTGAACAAACACCATCAGAATCTGTACTAATAGTGCTATAGGGAAAACCTGAAAATTACATTAATTTTTCTACATAGTACCCCATTTCTCCCTAACTCTTCCATTACCTGTGTTCAGTAACCTCTCACACAGAACTGGTATTTTTCTATTACTTACAAACAATAGTTTTCTCCATGCAGAAATACTGGGGTGTAGGGAGAAAGAAAGAAATCTTTCAAAGGGAAGAAAGTTACAGAGCTTGCACTGAGTTCAAGTCAGCTATTTTACTATGTACATTTTATGTTTTTTCCAGTCTAGTTCAAGCGAGCTTATTATTCTTGGATAAAATTTCAGAAGTTGCTACACGTATATACAGGCACAGGAGACATTCTTAGGAGGTAGCCTACTCTGGACTAGGGCACTTCTGATGAAGGTTGTGCTTGCTATCATTTAAACAAATCGTTTGACTTGCGCAATATTTCATCCTGTGGTCTCAAGCTACAGAAGGTTAAAAGAATTCTTCATGAGTCCAGGTTATTCATAAAACTGTTGCTGTGTGTAATACATGTAAGTGTTGGAGTCTTTAAAACTATGTTAGTGACTAAAATTAGTATTCCTGTATGATTAACTCTTTCAACACCATGGCAGTAAGACTATCTTCTGAAAGTAGTGTGTGCACTTTTAACCAAAAAAGGAACAAAAAGTTAGTAACAGACAATGTAGAAAAGACCACAACCTATGCAAAAATCTTTCTGTCACCAGTGGCTTAGTTAAGCAGTCAGACGACACAAATAACTACCAGTGTGATATCTGTGGGGTCTCTAAATATACACATACATTATTTTTTTTCAGTTCTACCCTATTAGCTTTCTGACTGCTGAGCAGTCAAAAAAATTTAAAGAAACCCTCCCCATGAAAAATTTTCAAACGCTCACTAGAATGCAGCTATCTTACTGGGTTGAAGTTTAGCACTGAATATTGATTGTCAAGTCATTCCAATTTATTTTCCTGTAAAAGTCAACCAGTTCAATGGACAAATAACCTGAACTGTGAGAACTGATATGAGTAATCTCATTACTGCACAGTATTTAAAAAGAAAATGTGTAAAGAAAGGATTAGCTTTATAAATCTGTGTTCACTGCAAATATAATTCAAACAAAAATCTGTTACAGATATGCAAAATTTATAGCATAACTCACGTTAACATTACATGCTGTCTAGATGCAACATGACATGTGAAACAATGACAGTGCTAAAGCTAACCACAAAACCACAACTATCAGCAAAGCCTGCAAAGGACAGTCTGAATTTTATTTTGTATATAAACAATTCAAAGTTAGCATTCCTCATTATCTTCTCTTCAATATAACATGATGAGTAAACATCCCTCTCACATAATCACACCTGAGACATAATACCTGCTTATTTAAACAATATATAATCTCTCGTTCATTTGTACGCAGGTTCTCAACATTATTTTCTCATGTAGCCAGCAAAAAATACTGAGATTTCTATTACGCTATTCATTAACTTTCAGAATTATAGTGTTTTCTGGCTGCAAAAATCCACCTTGATATAGAAAAGGGGATTTTAAATATTTGTATAATACTACCTATATATGATAAAGTGCTTTAAAAGTCAGACAAGATGACAAACAGTCACATATTTACACTTGAGTTTGCAAGGGACCTCTGTCGACTGGCTAGGCCAACGCCCCTGTTCAAAGCAGGGGTCGCACAGAGCAGGTTGCCCAGCATCATTTCCAGTTTGGTTTTGCTATCTTCCAAGATAAAAGTATGTATTATCATCAAATAACTCTCTTCGTCTTCCTTCAAAAGAACTACAAATACTACCAAATCACCTCTAAAATAACATAGTTTCAGATGTGTATCAAGAAAATTTGTACTGTACCTTTGTAATCATAAATGTAGACAAGTATTGGCTGGTTTTGACCAAAGGCACAAAATGACACCATGTGTTCATGTGGATGAAAGGCAACATCACGAAGTGGAGACGTAAAGGAGAGTTCAGAATATATAGCCACCTGATCTCCTACAGAAGTAAAATATGTTTATTAATACCATGGAAACATCTATGGGATAGCAAAATCACAATTGGTTAACTCTTGTATTAGCATGGTGCAGCAACAGCCACGGTAAATAAATACACTTCAGTCCATTTCCTTATTGAAAAGTACTATTTGGCATAAGACAAAACATATTGCATGCTTTTAAGTTATTCAATAAGTGAGAAAAGTGAGTGCTGTTGCAACAGCTGCACGAAACCCTAGAGGACGCATCAGGTTAGCCGAGTTCTCTTGTTCTGATAAGCAAGTTCTGGAAAGGTGGCGTTCCACGGTATTTGTTTATGCCTGCATTTTTGCCAGAGATAGCTATCTTAGTTGTGGATTTCAATTATATAATACTGGCAAAAAAAAAAAAGTTGAGCACAAAATTATTAAATAAGTAAATAAAATCACCTCTTCGGCATATGGCATTATGAACCCAAGCATAGCGTGTAAGCAAGAGTCAAAGCCTGGTGAAAACATACTAATAAAGTTCCTCCCTCCTTCTATTCTTTTTTAAAGTTTTCAGATGAATTAGGTAGCAGCATAAATGTAAGCTAATATACTTGGAGATGTGGAAAGAAATTCAGAACAGAACTGTTGGTTAGCTACAAGTTCTCAAATAGTTACTTCTTCCTTTGTAAAATTTATTTAGATCATAAGGGAGACAGAATATAACACCACCAAAACCAAAAAGTGTATTCTGCTACCTTCTACTGTTATTTTTGTCCATTTTACCTCAACGAACAAGAAAGATGGAAACTCTTCGTATTACATTTGCTTAACTTTTTTTCCCCAGAAGATTTTGGTAGCTATTCTGAAACTACTCTGTTTAGGAAATAATTAATGAAGTAACCCTATATTCCAAAAGCCAAAAGTATTCAGAATCTCTGACCACCCTTGGGAAACAAATCCTGCTTCCCAAATCAAAAAAAAACCAGCAGAGACTCTGACATAAAATGTTTTTGTGCATTCCCCCTCATCCACATATAAAGAACTACAGTATGCAAAACTCTGAGCTTCAGGTTCTCCATTCCTACTCTATATTACAAATGCTACTTCTGCCTATTAATTTCCTTTAGAGAATTAAATCTTAAGAGATTAATAACATTTAAGAGGTAGAGCCAAGGCTTCAGGATTTAATAACATCTTACTGAAGTTTTATTCCATATCAAATGTGTTTCAATAAAGCTTACAAAAACCCTTTCCCCCTCAGCCTTGACAACCTGGCTTAAGACCATAAAATAATTAGTTACCTGTTTCTGGATTCCAAACATAAGCCTTTCCATCTTCACTTCCAGAAAATAGGAACGTACCACACGGTGTTAAGGTGCTGTGAATCTTTTCTCTGTAATTTGTAGCACCTATGTATTTCTTTGTAGCCAAGCTAAAGATAAAGAAGAGTTTGCAAATGTAGCAGATACTTTCAGAATAAGCAATCTCACTTTCTCTATATCAGGTCGCCCCTCTGTTCTTCAGAAAGATCAATACATCCTTCATCCCAAGCAGATAAAGAAGTACCCACCTTTTGCAGAGTACAATGTTTACCCTTTCTTTTCTCTGGCTTTCATAATGCACCTGATATTATAGATGAAAGTGTACAGTCCTGTCTTTCAGTGGAAAATGGAAATACTGAGATCTAGAGAATGGATATAGATGCAGTACTTTGCATCTTCTTGATCCTAGGCTTTACAAAAAATGGGGAATTTGGCACTATTGCTCCAAGCTCTGCCAAAAAAAAGTTATTATGCTTCCTGAGCTTAACTACATCCCAGCAGTGCTTAAAATTATCCAGCAGCTCTCTTCAGCTCTTCAGACTAATGATTCCTTTGGTTACAAAACCAGAAGCAGAATCAACAAATTTCAGACACCAGTACTGATTTACTATTAACATTAATAATTTTATTTTACAACTTAGGTATCCTAATCTGTTTTCAGTGAAACACTAATGGTCAGCATAGTATGACCTACTAATGAACTACAGTCAAACAGTTTGTAGGCATCAAGTAGGAGAAAATCTATAAAAGCATTCAGAGAAGCCCAAGCCATCTTGTAAGAGGCTCTCTCAAATATGAAGTACATCTTGGAAACAGATATGCAAGTTCAAAATGAAGACTAATACATCATTAATACTACAATAGAGAACTCAAGGCAAGCATAATGGCAAGAGGCCACAAGAGCCCTCAAAAAACAGAAGAAAGTGATTTTTAAAATGGATTATTGCAGAAACCATGGAGGTGCACTGGGAGAAGTGCAGGTGAGTTAATATGGCAGGAAACTTATTTTTAACAACACTCTGAATAAATATCGCCTAGATACAACTCTCTTTGGCAAAAGAAAAGGATGCTTTAATGATCACAGTGCAAGATCACAGTAGCCCAAATAAGAATTTTAGCCATATGAATAAGGAAGATAGCATCTCTGAGGTATCATGTAGAGGAGCTCTGCAAGATGTAAAACTAACCTGCATATGAAACCCTAAGGTCTGAACCAAAACCAAATCCCTCTTCACATACCTGAGTGACAGGACAGCAACATTATCCAAAAAGATAAAAAAAGCAAGTTGAAAGAGGAAAGTTAAGAACAACTAGCTGTCAATCAAAGTGAATTGTGTTGATCTGTGACCTCCACCCCCTCTTTTCTCATGCAGGGAATGAACAGTTAATGCTGACATGTAAAATTATCATTGCTGGGTATCTGACCCTGTGGTTTATTGATAGGCTTAAGCCAATCAAACTGTGGGCTGCGGTCAAAGCAGCAGTCCTGCTGCTGTCCTCTCCACCCTTATTTTCCCAGGCTCTCCCTCATTTCTTCTCCAGTAGTTGGGCAGCTATCAGATGAGTTAGATCAGATAGTTGGCTAAAATGAAAATTAATCATTTGTATTTGTAAGCTGATTTTAAGTCGGATCAGTCCACTGATCTGAGTAACCCTGCGTCAAAAGATCTCCAGAGCTGATAAAAAGGAAACTCAGGAATACATGGCCAAAGGTGTGGGAGATAAGAGGAAAATGTGTGTCCTATGGATAAACTGGCTTAAAATAATTGTGAAATTGCACACTATATTAACCCTTTCTTAGAGATTAATATGCATGTCCATTTTTCTCTCTCGGACTAAACGTGCACTTTTTAGGAATGGCAGTAATAGAAGAACACGACGTACTTCAAACAGTACAGGTTCCCACTGATTTCATCCTGTGACTGAGTGCATAGTTTAGCTTTCTAGCATGATTATTATTCATCATTTACAGTAAAAGATGAAGAGTGCACTTCAAGACTGGAAAGTCTTCAGCCAGTTCAAACATCCAACCCAATATATTATTTAAGAGTGAGAGTTCCTGAGTGAGAATATATATGTACAGAAGTATGTTATAAAAGAACATAGTTTCTCATGCTATAAGGGCATAAAGTTATTTCCCCCAGGTAATTTCATTTAGAATAGCAGAGACCTTTGATTTTCTGTGTGGTGAGGGGAGGAAGGAAACTCATGAAATCAAGCTCATGAATCATTTAAAAAGAGCATTCATATCTTCAACGTGACTTTCTAGAAAGGAACGTTCAGGTGCCTCTTATCGCTGTGTGCAACTGATCGGAGTTAGACTCTTCTCACTTCCACTCAGTGAAAGGACAAGAGGAAATGGACATAAACTGAAGGTCTCAGTAACGTGCTTTCATGCTTTGATTATTTGGGTTAGACTGAATACTCTCCAACCTCAATGACTCCAATGACTCTGTGATCCCTTTCTTTAATAATAAACTACAATAAAACCCATCATCTTCGACTATTAAAAATGATAAAGTCAAAAAAACTAAGTCAAAAATCTAATAGCCTGCTTACTGTACCACAATATGTACATCGCTGCATTTTTTAGTATTTATGATGACAACCTTCATTCCATTCTACATTAAAATATTCTTCCCAGAGTTGTAACAATGAGAAACTAACGCACTAGCCAATGTTATAGTTTCAAAGTTATTTTCACACCCAGACTACATTTTTAAAAGTGAATTCAGTCTTTAGGAGACAAGTGTCTTCTTCATGTCACCTTAAGCTCCCAAGTAATCTAGTAATTTCTGGATATTCTGTTCTAAAAAAATTGCCCAATATCACACAAAAAGTCTGTAATACAACAGTGTTTTGAAACCATTTCCTAACCCTAATATTGCTATCCTTGATTATTAGGACATCTTTCTTCTCCACAACTATACATTTAATAGTTTCATGGTACTTCATTTCCCCAAGAAAATTTTAAAACCAAAAAGAAATATGCACTTGTCACCAAAACTCTTACTTACATTCTGAGATCCATGATTCTCAGGGTACTGTCTTTGGCATGGATTAATAAACGCCTTCCATTTGGATGCACCTCCAAATGACTTATTGGTGTTCCTTTAATATCATTTTCTTTTATTTCCTACAGAAAGAAGGGGGAAAAAAAAAAAATTATAACTGGGTGTTTAAAACCTCATGATTTTACACATTAATATTTATTTTTTTCCTGCTTCACTCTTTTCCTGCCTACTCAATTCTATATGGTTAAGGACAAAGTTTGTTCCTACATTAAGGCATTATATCATAGGCAAACAACTTTTCACAACCACGAGGAAGACTTTGCTGTGACTATGAACTTCTGAAACACCACTGATGACAGAAATGCTGACTGAACATTAGGCCTCTAAGTTACGACTTGTAAACCCTGTGGTCTATTTTATTGTTGTCTCTAGAGAACAAACCTAATGCATTAGCATTTATCTGGTACTATAACATAATTAAACCTCAAGCACTTTCATGTTTTATATACAAAAAAATTGAAGTTGCAAAGCAATTAAATATTTTAAGTCCGTGTTAAGCATGCCGTATCAGCCCTTTTCTACTGTTATTTTAAGAAAATACATGGCTTCAGCTAAACAAAAGTTAATGTACAAAAAACTTGAATTCAGATCAAATTACTAGATTTGGACACTTCACATGAAAATTCCAATTCTAGTTTAAGAAACCTGTATACCTTGTTTATTGTCCAGTGCTGAAACAGGTGCTGAGAACTTCCTTCAACAGATGTATTCCAAACTATTATCAGTCCTGAACTATCCCCTGAGAACATGTGGAGCCCTGTGAAATAGTATCTTCTAAGTAGGAGAATTCCACACAAAAGAACTAATACAGAAAAGGATATATGAACAACAACCAACATTTTTCTATTATTTTTGTGAATAGGCAAACACCAAGACTTTCCTCTCTTTTGCTGTGATATACTCAATGCAAATACATTTTGCTCATACTGCGTGACGTAAGTTAATATCATAAAATTGGATTCACCACCTAAGCCAGATACTGGGGTGCTCAATAGTCTTCTAAGTTTTTCCATTTTCACCCATATTCTAGAACCAACAAAAAATTATCATTTATAGCTCAATGAGCTTCATATGATAGTCTAATTCACAATCACTGGGGTCATCTTCAACAAGAAAAAATACTGTTTTCCAACAGTTGTTCATAAGCTAATCCCAAATACTTTTTCTTTATAAAAATGCAGCTCTTCCATCTTTGTAATATCTATTCCAGTGAATACTTCAGAAAATGAACCACCTAATTACTAATGATGTCACCAATACCAGAAGAAGTCAAGCACTTCCCAGTATCTTATTCATTCACTCATCTTCAACAGTTCCCACCTTCCACTAGTGTATGTTAGTACATCCTTCTTGCTCACTTCCACCTGTAATCTACCAGTTTACATTATTCACAGTGGGCAAATCTCTGTCCTTTTCTCTCATTTTTTTATCTTCTCTGTCAATGTTGAAAAGTTCATCACCTTCCCAGTTCTTCAGCATAGAATTAAAATTCTCACAATCTAACTACTTTTCTTTATCTTTGTATTGAGTTGGCAACTTTGAATGGCTATGTGGAGGAGCTGTCTTTGCTACTGTGTTGATCGTGCACTCTCCTGTTCTGTCCCGAGAGCTCTCTAGAAGCTGGTTTCAAATTTCCTGCTTCTGCTGTTAAGTTAGTACATAATTCTCCCACATGGAAGAATTCTAACCAAATCTGCCTTTTTTCAACTTACCTCTCTACACTTACTACTAGGCTTTCCACCTGCATCCTGATGCATTTATCTCCTTTGAACAGTAGCATCCACGCCTTATGTTCTGCTAAGTTTTGCCACAACAGGCACAAAACATTAGCTAACTAATAATAGCTAGTTGTAGGGACAATGAAAACTAAACTATGACCAAAATTTATCCATGGATTTCTTTTACATTTGCATTCCAGATTCTAATCACTGAGTCATAATAATAGTTACCTGATCACTATACGTTTGTTTGTTCTTTCCACACAGCTTTTCTGATTATTCTCAGTTTATACCATGGACTCTGTTCATCCAAAAAAGGCATCATACTAAGATATTAATTGCAAACATAGCTAAAACTATTCTACTCTAGCATTTCACTCTGCCTCTGTGAAATAAAGGAAACTATTAACACTCAAGCTGGTGTTCAACTGAACAGAAGCCTATTTGAGAAAATAATACTAAGTACATACCTTCTGTATCAAAACAAAGCGTGTTGATGAAACTTTTGTGACCGTCAAGCTCCTGCAGCAGTTGCCCATGGATTTCTTTTACATTTGCTTTCCAGACTCTAATCACTGAGTCATAACATCCTGTCACAACCAAGGAGTCAGCAACTGGGTGGTACTTTGCAGTGTAAACAAATGAAGGATGAGGGAAAACTCTCACTGCAGATGCTGACTGCATTTCTATTTTCCACATTCTAAAAGGAAAGATGTTAGGATATCTACTGTACAAAGAAATCACATACACAGGTGTAACTTGTGCCATATTTTGTACTAGTGGTTCTAGAAGTTAATGCTTGCAAATACTCAATGCCATCTGTTTATTCTACCAATAGGTTCCACCTATATTTCATCCTTTAATATGGTACTTCCTAACAACAATTAAGATCTATTTACTCCTTTGCATAGTACTCTGTCTTCAAAGTAAATTCATGCCTACCTAATCATTTAATGGGTATTTTGCACATTTTAAAATACACAGAGTTCCATGGGATGGATTGGTTTCTTCCCTTGAGGAGTTAAGGCCTTCTGGGGTATCACTCATTTAAAAAAAAAAAAACAAATGACCAAACAAACAAAACCAGTAGAAAAGGACATTTAGGACAACTAAATATAAAGAAAACCCCAGAACATTTTAAAAGAACTATTACCTACCACACAGTGACTGTGATCTCATGGATGTTTTGGATGTCTTCTTTCAGTTCCTACTACTAATCTGTTTCCTATCCTTCACCACCCTTAGCTCTAAGATCAGATATTTCCAAGGAAGAGTTTTTTTCTCTGAATCTATACACTTCTGTTATTTAGCTTTCCTCAAAGATGATTCCATAAAGAACGGAATAGTACCTCGATCACGAAATACAGGTGGGCGGGACATTTCAGAGAGTGCTCAGTTACAATATGGAATTTAGTTAATTGAGTGCCACTTTTCCAGGTCATGTGACTACACTTCTTGTGGCTACTGAAGCTTATTCTGAGGTGAGTTCATTACAAAATTGCAATCCCTTCTTATTGCAGTTAACTTGCAACTTAACGTGCAAAGATCACAAAGAGTCTCCTTGTCTTTTCGAATGGTTTTGCTCTAGCAACATCCAGGTTAATTCACTGCTTACAAATAATGTGGGACTTAAGGCTCAAGGATAGCATAAAACACTTTATAAAGAGGAATTCACATAAGCTCTCAAATGCCCCTTCAAGTTGCTTTAGAACTTAAACTGATAATGACTTCAAAGCAATGAGGTGCCTATTGGTCCTCATGCTTCAATTCTACCATGTTTCAATGGCAAAGTGCTCCTAGTGTGAAAGGAAAAAAGGAAACTCCTTGCCTTAACTAGACTTTTTAAGGAGCTTAAGATAACGGACAATAAATACAGGAACTAATAACTCATGCAGTGACTACACATAGTACACAGAAAAGGAGGCAGACCACTAGTTTCAACTTGCTGCCACAAATTCAATAATTGAGGAACAGCTGGGCCTTCTTATAGGTAACATAAGTGACTGAAATTCATATTTACCTCAATATAAAAAATTATTTGATCTGCTTCCAAATAAAAAAAAAAGATAAAAACGTGCTAAGCTCTCAAAATACTCTTTTAATGCCTACATATGAGCAGCACAAAAAAGCAAAATAGTTCCACACATACAATATATCATTTAACAATTCTTCTGGCATTTCAATTATGCAACTGCCTGTAGCATTACTGAGTTGCATAACAGAAACAACAGATAGGGATCTGAAGAACGAAAAGAAAAAAAAGCCCTATAAAAAAATATGAAGTTGCTTGTAATAAAATTGTGTAGTGTCACAGCCATATTTTCATGCATTTCTACAGTTTTGAGCGTTTTGGTTTTACACCTTGAACAGATTAGTACTTTAACACTCACTGAAGTACACCTAACTGTAGCGGAAAATGTGTACACATTCAATCTCAGAAATAATACTATCAACTTTAATTTACAGCAAGTTAAGTCGAATTATTCATCTAAGTGTCAAAAAAAACCCCATACACATTAAGTGGCCAATTTATACATGTAACTTGGATGTTAAATTTTCTATTTCCTGCTTCATGTTCAAATTTGCAAGCTTAAAACTGCATACATAATATGGCAGTTTCTCCAAGGATAAAATATTCCAACTGCCCCAGTGACTTCTTGAAATATAAAGCCTTTTGATTTTTTGCTGCATTGTAGATTTAGACACTATAGTTTTTGGAAAGGGTTTGGTCTCACATACATATACATTAGAAACCAATATAGTAAAAACAGCATAAGTGATAAACTCCATCACAGTGTTCATAGTTTTACAGAGTAAGTTACACTGTAATCTAATCTTAAATTAACACATCATAGCACAGTTTGTAAATTGGACCACTTTCTTTTCTGCTTCTGATGCCATCCGCCAGAACATCATCATTATACTGACCTGACAGTGCCATCAGATGATGCAGTAAGAAGGCATTGATTATCTTTCGACCAGCAAAGATCATACACGATGTTAAGGTGACCATTAAATTCTTTCAGGAACTGTCCAGAAGGAATTTCATACACTAGCGAAGTTTAAATAGAAAAATAAAAAATTTGTAAGTAAGTACGTAGAATCAATTATATGTAATTATTAGTGCAAAGTTTAGTCTAATCTTAGGCTGATTTCTGCTACCATAAGTCAACTAATTTTCTTTATTGTATCATTTTCGGAGAACAAGATCAAAGAGTTGCTAGATATGCATGGACTGCAAGCATATACTTCCATCTAGTGGTTTATGGGTGCCACAAATGTTTTAACCCTTAAGAAAGAGCCTACTTGGTTGAAATTATTGAAACCAGATTTGCCTTAACTTTTTCTTTGTTTTTAAATTTTGACAGCTACCCAACCAATCTTTGAAATAGATTAACCCTGAGATCATTTTTCTGGGGCTGTGTATTAAAGGAATCTACACTTAATGCTCTTTGCATTTAAACAGTTACTTTGTGTACATTTAAAATACCATTCATTCTAAATCTCTAAATTCTTACGCAGGGCTTAAGAACTATGCAGTTGGGGGCTGCTTCTTTTCACAGTAGCCTCAAGTTTGAGTAATAAGTAGTATTTATAGCTCCAGTTGAACTGGACCATGGAAGACAGCAGCCTCCAGTAGTCTGTCTGGAGATTATGATATTTCAGGTATCTAATTTTCATGATAGGTTAGGAGAAAAACTTACATAAAAATTCAGGTGGGGGCTTGAAAAGTTATTTCACTGAAAACTTTATTATCAGAAAATATCTTCATTATGCAAACTGATTTAGTATTTCCACTAGACCTCTGCACAGAAGTAGTGTGATTTCATACCATTAAACTATAGATACATTACCACATATGAAAAGCCAGCTCCAGCCCTATTAACACAGAGCATTTTCCTCAACGCTCTTCAACGCACGGAACAATTTGCAAAACACAATTGTAAAACAAACTCTCTTAAAAAAAAAAAAAAACACACTCTCCAAATACATCTTTTGTACTTTAATTTCAAACTGTATGAGTTATTAAAAAAAAGAAAAAGCCCCAAAGGTATTTGAAACTTACAGAGGATGGGGTAGCCATTCTTTCCAGCACATGCTGCTGCCAGCGTTCTCCCGTCGTGAGAGAAGCGGAGGGAGAAGCAGCCCAGGTCTCCCCCTCGCAGTGAGAGCAGGAGCTTGTTGGGTATGCGGCAGGCCTGGCTTTTCAGGCAACAATTGGGATTACACAGTTAGCAATATTAAACACCCAATGCTTAAAATGCGGTCTTCGTTCCTGTCATGCATCAATTTGAAAATGCTGCTTATGGGAAGTTAAAAGAAAAGTTGAACCTTATAAACCGAGGCAGTTCTGCTGCATCCCTTGGGATACATCTAGGTTGTGTATTCATTTCTGACCCATTGTTACAGAAAACTAGCAAGGTTTAAAAACCCAAGAAAACTAAAAATGGAAATAATTACCTTAATCTTAAGAAGTTCTTAAGAGTGAATATTGCCAATAATGTAAACTGTTAAGTCAGACTGTAAGTCAAGCTTGTTTAAGGAACCTAAGCATAACTTTTAGTAACTTCAAATAATCACCATGTGATCTCTCAAGACTAACTACAGGCACTCAGACCTTTCATCTACCAAATCACCTTTAGCATTCCTCATCTGTATTTCAATTCCTGACTTTTTTTTTTTTTTTAAACATAACTGGAGACAAAACATTTCAAAAACTTACACATGTATTACAGTCCCTCTTCCTTTCTCCCTAAATATTTCCTCTTTTTCACCCAAGGGCTTTTTCTCCAGAACAAAATTCAAAGTTTAAGGAGAATTAAAATATCCATAGTAGTTATGTTATTATGTAACCTAAACCAGATTTACCTTTAGGAATGAAATCTGAGTATGAACAGATTCATATACATTTAAAAAGTATACAAATACATCTACTTATGAAATAATTGAATATAAACTGTTCAATTCAGAATGAAGGTAAACAGGTCTTGTTATAAATTGTAAATGCAATTAAGCCTTCTTATGCTTTTTAGCCTCTCTCTAAAATATATTACAATGTTGAATCAGTAACTCAGCTCAGAACAAACTTATTTACAGCTCATATAACTATAATTCACATATAAAATTAATGTCATGTTGAATTCATATATCAATAAGTCAAAATTCTACAGAACATTTTGGAAAAAATGTCAGTCATCTATCTAGACAGATATATTGTGGTCCTTTAAAAAGATAACTTAGCTTTAAAGGTAAAAATAATTTAAATGTATGAAGAAGAAATAATTTTGAGCAAATTTTTAAACACATCTGCTTTTACTTTGGCAAACATGCTACATCACACTAACCTTACTGAAACTTTTTCTCAAGACAGCACATCACGAAATAAGTCATTGTTGTTACTAAAGTTCTTCAATATGTACATAGTATGACTAGTCCAAGAATAAATGAACTGACAATTTTTATGAGGAAGTAATTTATAAACAAATAATTTATAAATAATTGATAAATAAATTTTAAATAAAATTTGCATGATGGCAGGCAAATATACTTAGGATCATATTTTTCAAAAATAGTCTTGATTACACACTTATTTTCAGAATAGCAAACTCCTAAAAAGTAACAAACATGAACATAAGTGCAACTTTTAGGTATCTTGCCATTCTTGATAAGAAAATTTCTATTATAAAAGTAGACTGACTTATTCTTTACTATTTTATTATTATTAGCAAGTGTTAGTGGGAAATAAAATTAAGTCCATGTATATTTATGCGTTCTTTTTGAAAGAATCTGTACAAGGACTACAATATGAAAATAAAAATCAAATTCAACGGTCTTTGTTAACAAATGTGTTATATTATTCAAAATTTTATGGAACTATGAACTCACACTAAAAGCTGTCCTACAGAAAAATATGGACATATTTGCATGGACATTCTATACATAGTTGCAAAAATATTCCCTTTTTATGATTGCTAATTTCCATTAGCTATGATGTAGGAGTTAAGATGAAATCAGCAAGAATCTTAAGATTCTTCATTGAACGTTCCCTCTGTTATACTATAAAAATAACTTTAAGGAAAAACAAAACAAACCAACCAACAAAAAACCCAAACCACACAAAACACCAAGAAAACATATTTCCAGTCAACCTGAAATCTGAGAACTAGTTTCCTATTTTAATTCCACTACCTGAATAGCCCTACTCTTTCAAATTTCTAGAGAATTCTGAAGATAAAAATACCTCAAATGTTCTGGGAAAAAAAAAATCTGGTTAAATCAACCATATTGGGTAAGAAATCCGCAAGTTCCGTAATGTTTTTATTTTGTTTAATTTTTTTTTCTAGTTTGCTTTAATGAGTGACTTGCTTCATAACACTTATATCATAAAGTTATAAAAAGTAGATCTTTAAATTAGTTTTCTTTGAAAAGTAAATGAAAACACTTCACCTGTCCAGGCAACCTTGTCCATTTAAATGGCTCCTTTTTCTCCTGTGGCAGAGGTTCACATGAGTTTTTAGATTCTTCTCTCTGAAGCTCACACAGCATTGCACTATCTGCTGAACAGCTACCATAGAGCGGTAAGAAGGAGCAACCTTCAGACAAACAAAACTAAATATTAGGAACAAATATTTTAATTGAAGAGTGTAATATCTGTAAATACTAAAAAGTACTTTTAACATCAATTGCATTGCGTTTTTTATCTGAAAAAAACAGAGATTGGAAAATGCTTAACACACGAAAACTGCAGAGCAAAAGTTTCATTTACAAATACCAGCAAGTCAGAAAGTAATCTGAGCTTCTGAAGTTGTGTCAATCAGATGGTACCAAATATTTTTCACATAATTTACACTTTCCTTTCTTTATTAACTATCCAGGGTCAGTGAAAGCTAGAAATACTCCACTGTTGAAGGTGTTATATATAAAAAAAAAAAAGGCATTTCGGCATGTGAATAGTTCCGGTGACATTAACCAACCACTTTCAAATCAAAACACTGCTTTGGCAATGAAATCCACTGAGGACACCAAAAGATAATACCAGTGTTACATATTAAACACACTACGTTCAAGCGTTGCAAAGAAAAAAGGACTGACCACATTTGTGATTTTAACTGTAGGTAAAGCACATACGCTTCCCAAACTTCTGTAAGTACACCCGCTGAACCTTATCTACAAGTTACACCAAGCTTGAACACACAGGAAGCCTAGACGCTGTGAAGCAGCCCCATGGCTGAGGGGCACACGGGCCATTAAGCAGCACCTGCAGTTGCACTATGACGAGTCTCTTCAGAAACACCAGGCAAAATTACTGTTTCCTTCCAGGATGACAGTTGCTAGGTATCCACTTCAGGATGAAAATCTGTCTAGGTTCCTGTGACTACAAAGGGAGGCTGAACAGCTACTATGCAAGTACAAACCAATTTAGGAACTTAAATTAGCTCTCCACACATAGACATCTCCTTCCATGCAAGAAGTCCTGTTTTATCTATTTTCATACCTACTAGCCCATGCAGGAGGTGTGGGAGATATGGGCCCTTGCAGATAAGCAGGAGGCTAGGTAGAATCTGTAACAGAACTTAAATAGAAGCAGAAATCTATGCATAGAAAACTGTATCAGGCTATGGCTCTTATCTGGAGCTCAACCCCTGCTTTGGAAAATCTGGCAGTTATCAAAACAAGAATGAAATTTTATCGGTGGGCAACGGATCCAAGCACAGTACGGCTGGGAAAGCCTACGCAAATTCATCAGATCCCTGAGCTGCAGAGAGAGCTGTAAAGTAGGGACAGATGTAAACCAGTGACAGCACACAAAGATACCAGGAAAATATTTAGACTACGCAGAACACGGGCTCAGAAAACTCCTAGAAAAATGAAGCAGAGGTGCTCAAGCAAAGCACACAGAATTCCTAACAACCTCAGCAGCTAACTAAGCAAGAGACCTGCAGGTGTCATTCCAGTATACAGATTAGAAAAATGTCCCAAAAACGTATCAATTAATTCCATGGATTATCTTGGTTTTGGACCACATCTCTCCAGGCTTCCACAGATCACTCTTGACTGTACAGAGAGTGCGGAGAAGAAAGACTTAATGACAAGTGTAAATACACATGAAAAGTTATGTAATAGAATAATATTGTACTTGCATTGTAGAACAATAAATGCTGTATTTCTATTGAATACACATCTCAGCACATACCAACATAAAAGTTATTTATATAGTCTTAAAAGAGTTATTTTACAGTCTTTAAAGGAGTTTTCATTTCAGAAAAATATATGACTCATTATAGCTTGAGGGTGCAGGGAATCAGTTAAGTGAGTTAAATCTTCTCTCACTTGGAGAATTTACACACCTGCACGAGTATAATGACTTAAAATTGCATTTCTCCTAACGAGGAGTATCAGTCTTAAAGAAAGTACCCTCAAAAGTCTTCTGATTGTCAATGGCAAAATATGCAAAGTTCCAAATGGGAAAATATTTTTCAAAGACAGTGATGAAAGGCTGACTTTGGAACATTTATCCTAAGACACAGTTCTTATTATAGCTAGTTATATAATAGTAATTTTATATACTGCATAGAAGTACAAATTTTATATCTACGCATACAAACATACACACACACACACGCACTCTGTCTAGCTACCAGTTCCTACAGAAAAGCCTGTAGAGCTGTAAATATATTTATAGATTATATACTTACATGATCTGGCAGTTTTATGCCTCTTACAGTTACATATAAAGTTGATGGATAACGATTTCTAGGACATTTTGCCCACCAGTCATATACCTCAACAACATCTGAATGTGACTTGATTCTTGGAGGTGGGTAATATAATTGCAGACGGAGTTTTCCACCAACGTTTAGAACTCCATTTGCACCTACAAGCTGGAAGGGTGATTTGAAAAAAAAAAAAAAGGAAAAAAAAATGTGTTACGTTAACAGAAAGTAATACAAGTAATTATTTCTAGCATCTCAAACAACTAGGGTATAAACACTGAAATCCATTTCCCACTGGGGAAATGTATTATCCCTAAAAGTGATAATGAAGGAAGCACATATTAAACACCCCCAGGGTCACATGACTGAGATTAAAGCTTAGATGGCAGCCTACTTATCCGACATGCTTCATATGCACAACAGTAATATCCTGAATGTAGGAAGACATCTTTTTTAATTGCTACTTGATGGAATCAACCAAATCTCAAGGACTATCAATGTACACAGAGCCTCTTCCAAGCCTGACCACTTTGAATGCTGCAGCAAAGGGCATTGATGAGGCTTTGACTCGAGAGCAGAAGGTAACAGCAAAACAGTAAACTTTCCAACTTAAGGAAAAAAAAAAAAAGTTCTCTCTATTGAATTAAAGAACAAATGTGCACACATGAAAGGATAACGCAGATAGATGCAGTAGGAATGATGAACGGCACACAATTTTATTTGTATTTATGAGCTGGGATCCTTCCCTCTGTACATGAATATAATGTAGTGAATGCCTGATGCACAGTCCCAACCAGCTATACACCCAGGTACAGGACACCACAGCTCCAATTCCAGAAGATTCATTTTGGGCAGAGCTGAGGAGACTGTATGGAACAGAGTTCCCTCTCCATTCCCCCTGAACTTGCAGCACAATTTCTCCTGCATTTCTTATGCTGCGGACTGCTCAGTGACTGTGAAAGTCCACCATCCACTAGGGTAGGTGTAAATGAACAATCCTCAGGCAAGTTGAAGATTGTCAGCTCTCAAAAGCCAAACTGACACTTTCAGATCTCTCCTAGAAGGGTAAAAAGGTACATGCCATGCTGGCTAAATTATCTTTCTCTCACTGCTGCAGCATTTCAAACTCATCAACTAAAAATGACAGGCATTTCAGAATTAGGTTAGGGAGTCTTCTCAAAGGCTGGCCAACTGAAAATGCCACTAGAATACTTAATAGCTGAGGTACAAAAATTAGTGGATTTGTCATTTTCTTTGTAGAGACAACCTAACAAACACAGAAAACCTTCAAAGAAAACCTTCTGTACTTTATGAACAACAACAACAAAAAATATTACACGTGGTATACTTTCAAGAAAGATACACACTCTTTACTGTCAGGCTCGCTATTGTGAATTTTACCAGGCAAAGGAGAGGACAGCTAAGCAAGCAACGATGTGTTTTTCTATCTCTGTTGCCTGGAAGTATTAAAAAAAGTTTCCCCATTTAGTTTGGTTAGTGTCTTTTAGGCAATTGAGTAAGGAGACTTATAAATTATGTTTCTTCATTTGAATATTTACAATACCTTTAGAAATGCCCAACAAATTTTTCGAAAACCACGTTCTTGAATCCGTACATCAGAGTTGGCTCTCACTTCATCCATACTTAGAAAATCAAGGATCTGAAATTATTGGTAGGAATATAAATACATTTAATGAAGATATGCCTCCTGGTAATTAAAAGATACTATTGGAAATATGCATGTGTGATTTCCAAAAGTCCTATATAAATCATACAGATCACAAATCTGACACTGAAAACTAGCTGTATGTTCATCTAGCTGGAAAACAGCAGTCACAAAGTTAGTTTTCCTTTCCTAGATTTATCACTTTTGTCATGGAATTAATTGTAGAAGGGTTTGGACTGGAAAGGACCTTCAAAGATCGCCTAGTTCAAACCCCCTCCAAAAACATGGAATTGTGCTTTCTTCAAATTGATACCTCAAAAACCATGCTGCCGTCAAACAACATGGTTTCACTATAGTCACAATTTTGGTGCCAAGACTAGCACAATTTCCATAAGAATCTTGATATACAAATGTAAATACTTTTGTGTTAAGCAACTAAGGACTCTTAATTCTATAAATGTGTTCATTTTTATGAAGAAGGATACAGTGGTAGTATATATACAATCTACTTGAAATACAAAAAATAAGGAATGAAACAATATTTATTGTATTAGGTTCCCATTTTCAGGTTAATACTACAGAATCTCTTTACAAATATGGAAATACTTAAGCTCAAAATTATGTTGAATATATACCTTAGAATTTTTCCTTTAAACATAATTGTACTGGAGGACACATTAATAACTACTTTGTGAAAAATGGGAGAGGACATGTAGATGTTAACAAGAAACAATGCAATAGCTTGCTCATTGGTAAAAGGGTCAACAGGTGTTACTACAAGCAGGCAAATTCCATCTCTGAGTTTCTGGTACTTAAACTTCTTTTCATATTTCAAGAACGTGTAAAAGGAAAAGTGATAACCTTCATACATTGTACTGTCACTCCTGACCTGGAACAATCCTACCAGCCTTTCCCAGAAGTTGGTTGACTTAAGGAAGTTCTGTCCTCCTTACTACTATGAAAATGGGGAGGTTTCCTATAAGAAATTATTATTTAGATTTTTATTGGCAATCGCCGATATTCTGTATCTTAAGCCTAACACCTGAATCAGTCAAATATGTACTGTTGAAGAAAGAAACAGAAAATTATAATGCATATAAACTGGATGTAAAATATTTAACCTTACCTCAAAAAACAGGATTACTCGAGGGCTTTCTTCAGTGTTTTCAATAAAATAACTAAAACGCTCATTAAATATAACTTGTTCCTCCCACTCTGGAATTGTTGATTTAGACTGTCTGAAGTCATATGGTTGTGTCATAATAGGAAGAACATGCTCTATTTGTTCTTGTTCATAGTAAGATGAAACTTTCCTGTTGCTATTTGAAAATTTCCAAACAGTTACAATCACTGAAACACTTAAAAACAAAAAACCTCAAACAAAGCAGTATTTTCACTTTTCATCTTTTCCCTGAAAGCTAAGAAACATACAAGACACATTTGTTTGATTTCAGAAAAAAAAAATCCTAAACCCACCACAAATTTAAGACAATTTGCAAAGTATATAGAAGTGCTACAGTCTGAATTTGAAAATCCTAACAACCAAGTGACAGCTTACCAGATTTAAGCATAATGATCATGGTAGAGTCTACTGCTTAAATGCTGTTACAATTTGGTTTTCAGGAAAATTCTGCATAAGGATAGTAGAAGAAAAGTAACTGATAAATTAAAAATATGAAGAACTAAACTTGATTTCAGGATTTTATAAAAAAGTTCTTTCATATAAAAGGCAGATGCTATTTATGCTACAAGAGTTTTCCTTACTTATTCTCATCTTTTCTTCTATGTATTTTTGAGATTTAGGAAATTTTTATCTGGAAAGAATACAGAATGAACTGTGCTGTAAGTATGGGGACCTCAAGAGAAGCACAGCAGCACGGGACATTTAGAAGTACCAAAAGAGGATAAAAATATAACCTGAATTTAATGTGGGTATATAAATGCATCATCACAGATGTAGAAACTAATGAATGACCTCACAAGCTCACAAGTTTAGCATTATTTTCGTATTTAATTTTCTAGGGAAATATCTACCTATTTGTAGTAACTATTGATAACAGAAACAGTTTAATAAAAGTCACCTATGATCCTTCTTGACATATAAGCCATTTCTCTGATCAACAACATGAATTTTAACCATGGGATGAGATACCAGGAGATCAGTTTTAAGTCGATCAGATCGATGGATATAAACTCCTAACACAAGATCATCACCAAAACCAAATTTCATCTCATCATTTTCTGCAGCAACTTCTGTGGTTTCTTCTAGAAATAGGAACAAAATAAACAGAGGTTACTGTTCCACTAGTAACATTTAAAAGGAGTAAAAATGCTTCGTATTGTCTTAGCAATCAATAGTAAAATACGAATATTTAATGTGTTCATTATAATAAGTTACAGTAAAATTATCAAATTTGCAACATTTTAAACATGTATGAACATGACACATGAATATGTGTTAATTTAATCTATTCCTATTAACAAACATTTACATTTAAAATCAGAGGTCTTTCTCTTGATTAACATAGGTTCTCCTGTGCCTTTGCAATGACTTAAAATCCATACAGTTCAATAACCATCTCTGGGTTATAGCTTATAGTAGATTTTGTTTGGTTGGTTGGTTTTTTTTAACATAAAAAACAAGGTAAGCAGAAACTCATGCCTTCTGCACATGCATTTTCCCTCAATTTACTAAACACTGCTTCCAGAACTTCTTCATTTACAAGTTACAGTAAGACAACCATACTTAACAGATATCAAAAGACTCACTCCTCATCAATTTATGTCATCTCCATTTTTTTAAAAATAATTTCTTATTTTGGACTTCACGACTTTTGAGGAAATTTATTCTCCAGTTTGACTATATGTTGCACAAAAATGTTCTCTTATGTTTGAACTGACCATCCAGTTAAATCAGTGGTGATACACCATTTGTAGTATAGAGTAAATAAAAATTATAAAATAAGAAAAAGAATTAGAATATGCATCTAAGAAATACACTGTAAAGTTGAGATATATATAGGTATATTGTAATATTATGTTATGCTTTAAAAAAAATTACACTTTTAAAATATTTACCAATTTCAAAACTATTTGCAGGAAATGAATTCTCAATTTTTTAGACTTATACATCAAATAAATTTCCTTGCAAATTAGCCTCAGAATTGGAGAACAAAAATACAGCTAAGTAACTAAAGAAACATCAGTACCTTCAACAGCTCAATCATTTCTGTGTGTTACTGCTGTGAACAAATATTTTTGTAGCAGCACAGAAAAACAATAAAAGAAAAAAAGACTCGGATAAAACAGGAAGGAAAGCAGCACACCATTCTAACATTTTGTTGGCAGACCTTTTCTGGTTTTCTTTTTAACCTTCTTTGCTTTAGGTTTCTGTTTCTCCACACTTTCATCCAATTTCTGTCCTTCTAGTGTGAGTGATCTTTCCAATGAATGATTTTCATTGCCAGCTTCTGCTGGATGATGCTGTAGCTCAGAAAGGGACATTGCACTGCAATGTAATATATTACTGTCAGCAAGGTGGATACAGTTACTCATTACAATTGATTAATCAACTTGAAGTTTCCTCTTTAGTTCTGTAACTTGTCACCTGTGTATCTTGAAAATGCAACATGCACCCAACATCATTGCCTTCCCTTTTTAATTTCTCTCACTCCTTCACTTCCTCCTAATTTCCAGCTAATTGGAGAGCCATTCATAGAACTAAGCTAATACTCTTCTGCTGGATCAAGGCCATCACTCATTACTAAAAAAATCATGCACAAAATTATCTTCTGTTAGTTAAATGTGAGTTTGAAAAAAAATCAACATCATATAATAATGAAGGATATATTTTTAAAAAGTTAAATAAAATCTGTGTTAAATATTAATCTTGACAGTATTTTGAAGAAGGGTTCAGTAATAGTTTTTCATATCAGAATCATCCAGTTCATCACTTAGAAAAGATGTACTGTTTATCAGAAAGCTTCTGCCTATGTTAAAAAAATGGAAAAATTTGCTTAAGATTCACAGACACACAGTATGCAGTTTATTACAGTACCTTGTTTCAGCCTCACTTGAAACTGCTCTTTCTTTTTTCTTTTTCTTCTTTTTGCCCACTTCACTGTTCAATACAACTTCATGGCTTTGAACAGTGGAGGTAAATTCAGACATCTGTTCTTTAAGTTTCGTTCTTATTTTCTTTTTAATTGCATTTGCTTCCTCCTCAGCCACATGCAGCTGATAAGCTCGAATTAGCTCTTCTTCCTCTTCTAATTCAGTTACATTTCTTACTTCACCCAAGGAATTTTTAATCTTTCTATCACCTTCTTGATGAGGTACATCTGTTTGCAATTTACTTTTTGTTTTCTTCTTTGGAAAATCATTAGTCTTTTTCTCAAAACTCTCCAATTTAGCTTCATATAAATTTTCCTCCTCATTAAACTGTTCTTGTAAAAGTGATTTCTTTTTCTTCTTGTTAGACTTGGGTTTCTTGTTCTCCTCTCCACTAACAATATCATTGTTTATTTTCTCTGCAATTGAAGCTTTCTCTCTCAGTTTATTTTTCGTAAATCGGGGGCTCTCTTCTTCAGGATTGTATGTGTTGTTTATAATTGTTTCATCATTTGCACTCTCCTTAGCTAAATCAATATTACTTCTGAAAGTGTCAAGCTATAAATGAGAAGAACATAAAACATACTTGTACTAAAAAATTACGTGCTAAGGATAAACACAGTATTTTATGTTATTTCTTTAGCAATGTTACACAAAGTAAAGCAAAATCAAAGATCTAGGTTTTTTTTTTTTTTTTTCTTATTTAAAAGTGGCAGATTAAAAGGCAACAGAAAATCCACTGTGAAAAAAAAATTTCATGTTTGGGCACTTCATTTTGCTTCACTATGCTTTTAAGTTACTTTTATGTATATCCAGTAAAAAAAGAAACCAACAAGTCTACCTCATAAACAGATGCCAATGCTTTAGACTATGGAAGACTTGAAGATTGCATGCAGCACAAAATAAAGTATTTTCCTCCATTTAAAATGCAAGTTAGAGACGGGCTTCAGGCTCAGTTGTTTGTAGTTTGTTTTGCTGAAAGTTGCTTGCCAAATTTTGACAATGAAATTCTATTAAAAAGTGCTAAGATTGGAAAAAAATATTTCCATTAAGACCTGAAAAAAAAAAGTTTAAAAATAACCCACTTTATTCTTAGTAGAGTGAAAAAGATCTAAAGACCAATCTAGTAAAAACAGCTTAGATAAATCTCAGCTAACACATTTATCTGCGCACTCCCCCTCCCAACTTTTAGTTTACAATGTGTTTTCTAAAAACCACTTTCCTATCTCCTTGAGGTTTCTATTACTAATTACAAAAATTTATAATATCCCCATCCCTGGAAACATTCAGGTTTGACTAGGCTCTGAGCAACCTGATTTACTTGAAGATGTCCTTGCTCATTTGCAGGTGGTTGGACTAGACGACCTTTCAAGGCCCCTTCCAACTCAAAATATTCTATGATTCTGTAACTCTCCAGCAAGTAACGAAGGCCTAATTCTCTTGGGAGCTCAACACACAGAACTCTGTTCCCTGATGGAACTTCTGCTAAGTCACTAGGATTCATTTCCTCTGTTGTCTTACATAAAACTCTCTGGGGTCCCCACATGAAACATTAGAGAAGACCTTAAAAGACAAAGAAAGCAAATTTTAAAAGCAGTGGGAAAAAACAAGTATTTGCATACAATCTTTTCTTTGTCAGTATCATCTTCCTTCCTCAGTAAACAGGCATATTCCCCTTTTAGCTGCAACACTTCTCCAAATTACAGAATCATCTTTGTCTCAAACATTTTTAAAAAGGGACGATATATGTAATAACCAATCATCAAAATTTACAACCTTATAAGTACTAAAAACAGAGAATGAAGTTGCAAGAGCAATATGGATCCTATTTTAAAAATGCTCACTTGCATACTCCATGACTAGAAAGAAAACTCAATGTGCAAGTCATCTGCCTCCATATTTTATGCTCTCATCTGTGTGAGCCTGCAAACCTTCACCACTTCTTGTTTCATTCACAACTGACATTTGAAGAGAGAACATGGAAAGCAAGGAAATAACTATTGAAGGAGGAGAAGAAAGGAAAAAAAAAAATCTTTGAAGTACATGAGTAAAACCACAAAAAAAAAGTAAAATCAAGGAAGTTTATTACTTTGTCCGAAAATTGTCAAATAAAAGCACGGTGACAAGAAAAATACACCAAGATAGTTTGACACAGAAATATACGCTGATACCCAACACCAGAGACAAAGCTTAAAAATGCATTAACTAGACTTACTAATGCTACATATTACAAAACACTGTCCTAATAAAGTACAAGTTAAAAAAAGCAGCTAGAATGTCATGCAAGTATGCTTATCTAATACATCAGAAAAACCTAAAGCCATTCATATATCTTTTCAGTAGTTATCATTTTTAGCATCCTATGCCTAAAAATAGTTTATCTCAATATCAATCATGAAAAAAACCCGTCTTTGTACCTTCATTTTTACTTCTTTAAATAGACTAGTAGCATTCGCTTTATTCATAAATCAATAATTTGAGAGGATGTGAGAAGATTTAATAGAAATAACTTGAGACACAGAGTAGAGTAAGGGAAATTTAAAAATTACATCAACAAGCTTTGCATAAATGAAAAAAAAAGCTTTTTATTAGACTGTCCGCTTCCTTATCTGCATTTCTATGAACAGCTTTAACTGCAGAGTGTAAGGAATGAAAATTAAAATACACTGGCAATTAAGACCCAACAGTGACCAACAGCTAGGGTCATGGTGATTTTTGCCTTTGATAGAACATTAATCCATTAAGCTCAAGAAGAATTCTTTCAGAGATCTTAAACAAAAAGCCCATATTTTTGACCTTGTTCAAGAGTTTCTAAAATAACTCAGATATTCAAGAGCCATTTACTCAAAGAAACCTAGCTGTTCCAAACACTTCACTGAAATATTTACTAGAACTTATTTATTATGCCTACAAGTAAAAACAGAGGCTCACAAACATGTTATGAATAGTAGCAGCATACAGTCAATTACAGCAAATTTACTCACAGAAAAAAAAATACAGAATATTCTCATAATGAAATAAAACACAAACAAACTACAGTAAATTTAACGAACATTAAGAGACACTGCAGGCAGCACAAAGCTGTCTCAGCAGTTCATACAGAAATTCATCGGATGCGTAGCCTATATGATCTGAACTTGGGCCACGTTTCCCCATGCTATAATTATGTGATGCAATTAAACAGAGAGGAAAGATGGGAAGGGACCACAAAATTATAAAGTAAAAGCCAAGACGTTTATACAAACCATCAGATTAGGTCTCAGGCAGAGACAAGGATACTGGCATACATTCTTTGTCTGAGATACAGGACTGAGCTCAACTAGAAGCAACCATCTACCTATAAGATGTGTTTCAGAAAAAGCAGTTAGGCTGGAAAAGCAGCTCAGAGGCTAGACCTGTCCTTGGAGTAACTCCAGAGGGTTGCTGACCTGAATCTGACCTCCTCAGTTTAAAGCATGGCACAAATGGAGAAGGTTGTTTGCCTTTTTTTTTTTTTTTTTCTTCCTCCAAAACAGCTCAAGGGACACATAAGGACACCGGGGCAGCGGCAGCACTCACCCTGATAACAAACCTACTTGCACTACAGGCTTGATAGAAGCAAGAGATAGGTGCCAGCCAAGATGCATGCAGGTGGGCTAACACACAAGACTCCTAGCACAATGAGCCAAGCCCCAGAGGGGCTTGCCATTCATGTCCCAGAGCTGACAGTAGGGACAACACCTAAAAATCTTACTCCTTTTTAAAAAAGCTTCTCAAGTATGTGTGAGTGTAACTTGCGAATGTATCAGATGATTTTACCCAGGGTATCTGGAAACTCAGATAACCAAAGTTAAAAAGAAGTACTTGAACTTCTTCCCATAAGATAAGCACACCTTGAAAAATTAGGAACGGACATCCTGTTCTGGATCAGAAACGGTGTGGCCAGCAGGAGTAGGGAGGTGATCATGGCCCCGTACTCGGCACTCATGAGACCGCATATTGAGTACTGTGTTCAGTCTTGGGCACCACAGTGTAAGAAGGGCATTGAGGAGTGGGTCCAGAGAAGGGCAACGAGGCTGGTGAGAGGGCTGGAAAACATCCCTTATGAGGACCAGCTGAGGGAATTGGGGTTATTTAGTCTGGAGAAGAGAAGACTAAGAGGAAACCCTATTGCTCTCTACAACTCCCTAAAAGGAGGTTGCAGTGAGGCTGGTGTTGGTTCTCTTCTCCCAAACTACTGACAATAAAACGAGGGGAAACGGCATCAAGTTGTGCCAGGGAAGATTTTGATTAGATATTAGGAAGAATTTCTTCACTGAGAGAGTGCTTAGACACTGGAATAGGCTGCCCAGGGAGGTGTTGGAGTCATCATCCCTGGAGGTGTTCAAAAAACAAGTAGATGTGGCACTTGAGGCTATGACCTAGTGGTTAGAGGAACGGTGGAAGAAGGTTGGAACTGATGATCCTGGAGGTCCTTTCCAACCATGGTGATTGTATGACATTGCCAGTTCACTGAAGGGCTCATATTAATAGCTGTAAAAGACCATTTACTTGCAACTGTATTGGTAATAAATATACTTGTGATGCTGGCTAGTTGGGTAAGACGTTTAAGAAAATTTTAATGTACTAGGGAACCAATTTTACTGCCATTGTTCATATAAGACTACAAAATGCAGATGCTCAAAGCTAGAAGAATTTACAGATACGACAGGCTTGGAGAAGTTTCACTAAGTTTTAACAGAAAACATCAAGAAAATGTATAAATCAAATATACAGTCAACTATTACTACTTCCCCATTTTAAGAAACAAAGGTCTAAAAAACAGTGGAAAACTCAACAATTATTCAGTGCCTGTCAGCTTATGGGAAAAAATGGGCTATGTAACAGACCCTGCAAAAATGCTACAACCTTAATGCTCTGCACATTGTGTTCTAAGAGAGAAGCTAAAGTACTGAATTAGTCAGAAGAAACCTGTAAAACACCCATCTTACCCAAAAGAATACAACGATTTTCAAGCCTGGAGACAGACTCCTATTACCTGTGCCTTCCCAAAACTCTAGACTCCAATCTGTCATCTGGGGCAGGCCTTATAACGAAAGAGAAGGAGTGAATTCAATAAGGTAGGAAGTATAAAGCTTCAAAGGGACAAAACCTGTTCCAGTCCTCCCTCGAATGCAGAATGCTTATCATCAGCATGTGCCTGCCCCAACACTGTCAGCTGGTCAGACTACAGTCTAGGGAAGAAATTCATGCCTCTGTAATGGGATCCTATTTTTCACTTGGTAGAAAACTTCACTGACATTTTCCGAGCTGAACATCCTCTCACCATGAAATTAAGATTTGATCAAATAAACTCAATTTTCACACTGACTTCAGACAAGTTAATCTGTCTGGGCATTGGCTGGTCTGAGGTTTGCCTCATTCTAATGATCTGTAATAGGAGGCACAAGTGGTAAAAAATAAATATGGTAGCTGTTGGCCCTGGAAGCAATACTGGCAAATTCACTTTCTGCCTGCATCCCAACTCCTTGTTTTTTTCAGCCATGCCTCCAGGCCTCATACCCACTGCACCTGTGGCTACTGAATAACAAGGCAGGCTTTCAGTGGCCACAGCTGATGCCTATCTCCATCTCCATCACTGATATATTTCATGCTACTTCATGATATGTGAAACTCTATATAGTTAAATTATATAAAGTGAAGAAAACCAGAACAAACCCAGCCAACCTCCTGCATCTGCCTTCCTCCTCTCCCACACACTTTTCTTACAAAGAAATGATGGGTTATTTGCTGAAGCTTTTACAGAAATTTCTACTTGAATGTAATCAGTGTGGAAAATGTCAACCCGAGTTCTTGCAAACTTGCCATACTTCAAGAAAATACTCAAACAGGGCAGTATTAGGTTCCAATACACATACTCCTTAAGTTCATAGTTTAGTGCTTTGATTGGTAAAAATCTATAGCTTCAACAAAACTATAGTTAGGTTTCCACACTGACTGTAAAAACATTTCTTAATTTGCATGTACGTCTGTTTTGATTCAGTTCACTGTGATTTTAAGTGTTTCTAGGTAACTTCAACACCAGTGTTTTACATCAGAGACTTCTGTAATGGAAACTTTTTTGAAAACCAAAGTAAGCTTAAAGTATTTATGAGTAATATGGAGCTGCATATGAGCATATAATTATGTGCTCAGAAATACTATATAATACAAAGCACAGATTTAAATGCTTGCATTCCATGAAAAAGCAAACCTAACTATGGAAGAATTTTGTCTCGTATTTACACGTGCCAGTAAAAAAAGGAAAAAGAACACCAACTTCTAACTCTTCTGTGCTCTATTTTAGGCATGATGTTGATTCTTTGTATAGACTATTGACTAAATAGCATACACTTCAGAGAATGAAAAAAAAAAAAAAAACAAAACCACACAAATATCAACTTCACATTGTCACTCTGAAGACAAAATTGTTTCAGCACAATACTAATTTTAATACAACTATTCCAAATGTACTTTTATATAATACTTACTATATATAAATACTTATACATACTAAGGTTGGAAATTCTCATTGGCTTTCAATTCACAGATGTATTACACAGATGCACCTGTACTATGCAGATGTAGTACTTTAAAAATGAAATGCTTTTGTAGCCAAAGTCCTACTAGCCCATCACTCAAACTCTGATGTCAATATGGAATTTGAAGACTTTAAAACTTATCTGAAAAAACAGACTGGAAAAAAAGTACTGGCAGAATTCAAAATAGTGCCTGCTTGCATGTGCCACTTTCTTTTCACCAGTAGCATATTCTACAATATTCTGGCATACCTCCACATTAGACGGATGCCTTGTTGGTACACAAACAATAAATGAAGTGCCATCAAAACAAAGGATATGTGCAGAAATATACTTTATTTACAAAAAAATGCTTACATTTCTTTTCTACAACTTATTGTCCTGATCTTTTTTCCCCCACTAAGGAAGGCAACCAAAGCAAGCTTGCATGTGTTCAAACTCACCACAATACTCTCTTGGGAGTGAAACTTCTTTTTCTTTGATTTCTTTGTGTCTGTTAGGCCAGCATGACGCCTGAAGATTTCCTCAAAGCGGACTTTGGTTTTTGCCTTTGCCTCACTTTCAACTGAAAAAAGAAATCTAGAGTATGACTGACTAGCTCAATAATCACCATTGCTAAAAAAAGTGTGCAATCATACTTTAAAATTACAAAGGACAAGAATTATTTATCAAGGAAAGTTTCCTAAGAAATTCACTTAGTATTCAGTAAAGAATTTCCAGGAACAACAAAGATAACTCAGCAACATTATACAAACACACCAGGCTATTACTTGTTGCTGAAGTTGGCACTGCCTACTCTGTTTCCTGAAGAAAGCACATTCTGAAGGGCACACAGACTAGGATCAGCACAACACTTGGGCTAGCCCAAGCAGAGGACAGATTATTGCTCTCCCTGTTTAAGAACAGTAGCACACTGATAAAATTATGAGGTGACACACTGTCTCCAGATGAGGCAGCAGCTCTGGGTTCTTAGAGAATTTGGAAGTCAGAGGAGCACCACCCTGAGACAGATGTGTAAGAGGCAGAAGCATGCACCCATCTGAAATCAGTTAGTAATGATGGTACTGCTATCAGCACCATTTCAACCTTGGAGCAGTAGGTGTTCTAGGCTCCCTGAACCAATGTTTAATTTGTAGCTAAAGAATTCAAAATGTAATCTGGCACAACGCTGAAAAAGGCTATTGAATCCTTAGCTATGGCATCATTGCCATTATAATTAGAATTTTAAAAAAAAAAGCCCCCAAATTTTAAATAAAATAACATCACTAGAAAAAAAAATCAGCTATAAAGATGGACCCAAAATACAGCAAACACAGCACTAAAAACTTAAGACAGAAGTAATTCCTATCATTTGCACCTAGTTCCAACTATAAAATATGTATTGGAAATCAAACACAAAATATTCTTACCTGCTGGCATTTTCAGTTCTCAGTTAGAAGTGGCTCAACACACCAGCTGCTTCTTCCTCAGAATTCACCATTCTATATAAAGCAATTAACAACTTTCATTAACATAGCTGGTCCATAGATTTGAAGCTAACAATTGAATGCTGGCTAACTAATACCAAGGATGAGTACAAGTCTTTTAGGGAAATAACTATTTCTATACTTTTTGTCTAAATTATTAGAAGTTCTCTGCCATCAGATCTCGGCTCAGAATTCTTAGTGTCCATCTGTTGCTCGTTATTTGAGAGTAAATAAAAACCAACATTATAGCAGTAATACTTCAGTACTGTAGTCCTCCACCCTTCCACAAACCCATGCATTTTATTTACATAATAATGACCAATGAAGCCATTTATACTGAAGCTTTTCTAAGAAGGTTCCTATCCAGACAGCTTCATCAAGGAAGTAACATTGTAGCCAGCTGATAGCTTTCAACGAAAAGATCAGTATCTGCCATCAAGTCTAACTTTATTACAAATATCTAAATATTCATGTTTATATAAAGCATTTGAATTTTACATAAAGCAGACAAGCAATTACATGAAACTCATTTCTCTGAAGAAAAAAAATGTTAGGCCCTCCTGGTTGTGAAGAAAAGCCGACAAATGCAATCTAAACAAAGCTTGAAGGCAAACAAAAATATTACACAGCTTTATCTTTTCATCAAGAAAATTCTGAATGTTTTATGAAAAACTTTAATACAAAAAGCTGTTTTGTAAACAGTGGAACTAATGAACTCTGACTTCCTATGAATGTGTAATGTTCTCCTCAGCCTTCCATGCAATGAACTACCATCCCTATCTCCTTTGACAGCCCATCAGGCAATAGCTCCAAGTTCTCCTCAGGTAACACCTCCTGTTACATCAGTACTCACACTCACTGGACACCCAAACTACAGCTACCCTAATAAATTAAGATGTAGCATTAAGTACTACCAAGCTATAAGGTTGCATCAGCCTCAGCACTATTTTGGTTCAGGCCACTTAACACTCACCCAAGCAATCCCCAGGTTCATCTTATGAGTTCCTATGGATTATTATTAATAGGCAATTTGCATCTGACCACTCTGATTTGGGGTTAACAGAGTTTAAAAGCATTAAGGTGGGCCAAACATACCACTTGGCCTCCACACTGAAATGCACTGCTGAGCATGCACATCTTACTAGTACAGGAAAGAGCTGAGGCTGCACTTAGGGTCCCTGAGCACCCGCACCACTGTACTCTCAGATCCCTCTCTTCTCTCTTTTACAGTGTCACGTTCTGCTTCTTCCCTGTCCCCGCTACAGGCTGCAAACTTTCGAGTCATTTCACATTTGTTACTTAAAGTAGTTTAGTCGGCTGGCTAGTCAAAACAAAACAAATGAAGGAGAAAAAAAAAAAGGTAAAGTAGTAAGGTTGATTTGGGATTATAGAACTGCTGATTAGTCAGTTGCCAGGTGTCATTAGTTTATTTCATGTATTGAGCAATGTATTTATACTAAGGATCCAACAATCCTGGATGTTTGAAATGAGCGAGGAAGATCAAAAGGGACTTCACAGGAAGGAAAAAAAAAAGTTTTGTTCTGCAGTATGCTTCATCATGCCACTGACAAGGTTGCAATATTTTCATTATTATTATTATTTACAATAAGGTAGCAATATTTTCACTAGCTAAAATACGTTTTGACACATAAAGCAAAGCTTTACTGTCACAGCTAACAGTAACAGTTAAAAATAACGTTCCTTACAAGAAATGAAACCACAAAACATTATTGAAAAATCAATCTGCTTTTGAAATTTATGCTCAGTTATACCAAGAAGGCCATTTTAAAAGTACTACAACTATTAAGTGCTGTTTTTCAAGTAGTCAGTTCACATTTAGCTAGAAAATGCTTGTAAACTGAATGAGTAGGAAACTAAACATAGTTATAAAATACTATCACTTCAATCATTCACTGAGCATTGCAGGAACAGGAACACGGAAAAGTCTCTTATGATTAGTTGAGTGATTTCAACCAACCCTCAAAAATGCTAATCACAAACAACAAATGAATGCTGAAGTGCTCTTAAATTTAAAACAAAAAATATGAAAGACAGTATAGAACATGACAGCAAAATAAGCAAAGCACATACCTGTTCAAAGCATGAAAATGATTTCATGGTCAAAGGTTAAATTGATCACACCACCAAAAAACTACAGGTAAATTAATTCTGCAGATATTTTTGCTTATAACCAAACACCTTTCCAAAGGCTAGGCTCACCTCACATCTACCAGTGTGGTAACAGAATTAAAAGATAAAGTCCTCTAACTATAGTGCTATTATTTTATACACATTTCTGATTTAGAATTACATGACTTTTGACATGATGCATTAAAGCAAGTATTAGACGTGTAAATATAGATCATTAATCAACAAGGATAAGAACAAGGGGGTTTACTCAGTGTAATCTCACCTTAAAATAGGAGAGATTTAATCATATCAATGTTTAGACACCACAGTGTCAGAATCTGAATAAACTCAGTTATCAAGATGAACGTTGCAAGATGCATTTTTTGCCTGTTCAGCTTTTACATTATCTAACCATGTTAGCTAAGCAGGCAATTCAGGAATGAGAAAAATAGATACTTGGAACAGTGGCACATTCCAACCATTGGGAATAGCAAGGAAAACAAAATCATGAAGGCCAAACTTTCAAGAATTATTATATAACTTCCTGAAAATCATCTAATTTGCTTCTCTCTAATATTCCATGTGTATTTATAAATGTGTTTCTACACTAAATTCTTGCTCTTTTCACAGTATTTTACAATGATCACTGAGCTGCTATATTCTCCATCCACAGTATGGGAATTCTCTATGCAAGACATGTAACAAAATTCACTACTCACAAAAACCACTTTTATCACCAAAAAAAAAAAAAAGACTCAAACCTATACTACAATGGAGCAGAACACATGAAATCTGTACTACACAATGGGAAATGAGAAATTTCCCACCTAATGAAGGTCATTTATGAAACTGAGTTGACAAAATCTCATCAATTTTCATTAACTTCATGATTTTCATGAATCCTGTTTTTCTTTTAACACAAAGAATGAATGTGAACTTCAGTGGCTGAAAACAAGAACAACATGAGGCCTTGTTTAATTCTCATCTTTTAGATGAGACCATTCATCATAGTGGGAAATCTTGGGTTTTACTAGTAGGTTGCTAATTCAGGTATCTGCAGGCTGAAAGCCTCTGGAAAAGCTTTAACTTTAAACAGCAAAATAACACTGAGTAGAATTTGTTCCTTTCTGCTAATGATAAATATTATATCAAAATATAATATTGTTTTATGCATGAAAATTCAGTATTTAAGTCCAGAAAATTGACAGCTTTATTAGTGCCATGCAAATACCTATGCACTTGTGTATCAAATAAACACTACTAGAAGTCTAGTAGCCTTCTACCAGTTTAGACATGCCTGTAAAATCCTGGTGTTCACACTAGTTTAAAAGGACATTTTTAGCTTTAAGAAGCTGGAGCTACCCATCTGAGTTTTCTAGCAGAAAAGTCTCGGGAAACTTTAGCTTCAGTGGAACTGCTGTTTCTTTCCCAGATTCGGCACCTTTTGATGGTCAGAAGGTTAAAACCAGTTTTTATCTACTGGGTAAATAGATGGGCAGATGGGCTGCCAGTTCCATAGGAGGAAACGCAGCTAACTTTTATTTAAGTTTAGTACACTTTAAGTCTGGGCCTTATCTTAAAAAACAATTATGAAAATGGGGTCTCATACGGAGAGCGCCCTAAGTATTTTAACTTCGCAAGTGGCATTCTGCACAGAGGAAAAACGGTAAACAACGAAGATACACAAGGAACATTCCCAGCACACGTCACACCCGGACTAGCCGAGGGGATTAACTGCAATTAACGTGCAGACGCAGGTTCCTCAGGCGAGGGAGGCATCCCCGCTTTGGGGCTTAACACGCCCGGCACGCAGCAGCGGCGGCGCTGCCCCTTCACGTGCCGCAGGGGACAAACGGGCCGTATTCGTGCAACCTCACCCGAGTAAACTTGATGAGACCTCACAACCTCCGGGAAGGCTCCCCGGCCCCAGCCCTCCGGCCCGCC